TAAAAAATAAAAACACAAAAACCCCGATGCAACAGCAGCAGCCACAGTGGCTGAAGATGAGAGGACTCCTGTGCCAGCCAAGGTGGAAGCAGAAATTACTCCCCAGTCCCCACTGACTGCAGGAACAGGAGGGCCACACACCCATTTGGTGGCCACAACATTGAAAGCTGAGACAGCAGGACTGGTCTGGACCTGAGGAGTCAAAGGCAACACTTGCAGCCAGGCCTGGCACTTGCATAGGGGCAAAATGTCCCAAGCCAGAGGAAATGGGTAAGAATTGGGTACACATCACCTGTATTGGGAATGAACAAATGTGTTCGAATATTTGGAAAAAGCAGACATTCTAGGGGTAGGGAGTTCTAAAGCTTTGGTGCACTTGAATGGATAAACTTCCCAGAGCAGAGTTTTCCCAGCATGGCTCCCTGTGGTTCACCTCTACCAAGCTTAACCTACCTTCCGCTTAGGCAGAGTGAAGAGGCACCTCAGCATAACTCAGATCACAATGGAAACATCTCATTTCTTACAAGCTGTCAAGGAATTGGTGTGAGGTTTAAAAACATCTCTGAGCTTGATGGAAGGAAGGTAGGCGGTGATAGTTCATGCTCCCTTTCCTCCAGACACTTATCATTTTCCTTTCTCAACCTGGTTTGATATTACGATTTCTTTTGCTTCATTTGTTAAGTTCTCTTACAGTACTTGTTCGCAAGTGAGTGAAGAGCTGTTCTCTGCTCATAACCTTGGAAATGGGGGAGTGTTTCGGAAATGACACAACAGAGCATTAAGCCGTGAAACAAGAAAGGGAACTTCAGATAGAATTACAACAATCATTTGAGAATCTCACTGAGAGCTAAAAAAAGCCACACACATAGAGGAGTGTTTTTAAATCTTTTTTTTTTTTTTTTTTTGTACTTTGTTGAGTTTCCTGCTTTCAGTTTTTCTAACTTAGCCACAGGAAGTGTAGGCATGAAAAACATATTGACTGGATTTCCTATAAGACTTTCGCTTTTTAGAAAACAAGGAAAAAAACTCAGATTTTGTCATACTAGCACCTAAGGCATAGTTCTTGCCTCTTTTCATTACTACACACACTCACATACACCACATACGCACACATACACATACAGATACACGCACATACATATGTTTGTGTTTGGATAGATAGAGATATATGTCATAGACTATTAACTGTTAGGGATCTTATAGATCATAAGTTGATGTCTTCATTTCAGATATTAGAAAATGGAGGATTAAACAAGTAAAATGAGTAGAATGACCCAGTTGGAATTTAAATCTAGATTTTCTAGATCCTAGTGAAGGGCTCCTTCACTTGTGAAGCCCTGCCAATGGGCTTGTAAAGTCCCTCTCCTTTTAAGGAGTGTTCCCTTGAACTTAGTACAGTATTATGGTTTCTTGATGGTTCAGACAAGTCCTTGACATGGTGTTCCTTTGGCAGGCACATGGGAACGGAATGGTGTAGCAGTTGCTGTATTATCTCTAGTAGCATGTGACAAAAGAGCTGTTTTGGACATTCAAGCATTCATCTTTTTCCTGAGTATCATTTACTCATGCATGTAGAACCTGTGTTACGTTCTGAGGTGCAAATATACTTAAAAGAATATTTACAATAAGATCCCCGAGGGGGTGAGAGAGGAATGAGCGAGCATTGAATATACACCAAAATATTAACCACAGTGGAATTAAAGGCTACACTTTCCCATCTCCTTTTTTTTTTTTGGTTAATCTTAAATGTCTACATTCTGTATAATGAACATTCATTGCTTTTAGAATTTAAAAAACTTGGCCGGGCACAGTGGCTCACACCTGTAATCCCAGCACTTTGGGAGGCCGAGGCGGGCGAATCACCAGGTCAGGAGATCGAGACCATCCTGGCTAACACGGTGAAACTCCATCTCTACAAAAAATACAAAAAATTAGCCGAGCATGGTGGCGGGCACCTGTAGTCCCAGCTACTCAGGAGGCTGAGGCAGGAGAATGGCATGAACCCGGGAGGTGGAGCTTGCAGTGAGCCGAGATCGCGCCACTGCACTCCAACCTAGGTGACAGAGCGAGACTCTGTTTCAAAAAAAAAAAAAAAAAGAATTAAAAAACTTATTTTTAATTTAAAAAATTGACTAAGACACATTAAGATTTAAATATATTTGTCCCTTCAAAATTCAAAAGTTGAAACTTAACCCCCAAGTGGATGATATTCAAAGGTGGGACCTTTGGAAGATGATTAGATCCTTGGGAGGCCTGAAATCAGATGTCTGTATTTTTTGGTTACATCATTCAATAAATTCCACTTATGATTTAGGCCAGTTTGAATTGGGTTTTGTAATAGTGTGTATGTATGTAAGTCAGGATCCTGGCAGTACACAAATGGCACACTTAATGACGTAACTGAGGAGATAGTGAAGGACCACACACAGATACAGGGATTAAGAGAAACCCATGAGAACTATAAATATCAGGGAGCCTTCTCATCCCTAGGCCTGAAAGGACAAAGGGAAAAACTGGTTTCCCAGCATCTAAAACTTGGGAAGAGATGTGGCTGTAGCTTCAGGAGAGGGCTACCTGACAGGAACTGTGGCCTCCATGAGCAAAGCAGCCTGGGAAAGCAGGAAGGGGACCAAGAAATCAACACTCCCTCCCCTGTTTCCTCCCACTCCTCAAACTCCTCTTGGTGGTTCCACTGGCTGACCTTGAGTGGAAGTTAGAGAGAAGGGAGGCCATTTGAACAGTCTATTGAAATTAGCCTCTTGGACACAGAGCATGATGGAGAGGGTGAAGAGAGGATCTGGAGGGGCCATGGAGAACATTCATCATCCTGTGATTCTAATACAGTCATGCATTGCTTAACAACAGGGATGTGTTCTGAGAAATGCCTTCTTGGGTGACACGTCATTGGTGCACACCATAGTATACTGACACAGACCTAGAAGGTGTGGCCTATTACACACCTAGGCTACGTGCCACAGCCTGTTGCTCCCAGGTCACAAACCTGTATAATATGTTACTGAACTAAGTACTGTAGACAGTTGTAACACAGCAGTATTTGTATATCTAAACACATCTAAACATAGAAAAGGGACAGTAAAAGTACAGTATTATAGTTTTATGGGACTAACGTCGCATATGCAGTCTGTCATTGACTAAAATATCATTAAGTGGTGCGTGACCGTTTATTTTTTACAAAGTACCCTGGTATACTAAAAAACAGTTGATAAAGAAATGACTATAATGATCATTACAACAGAGTGATTACCTTAAATTATTAAATCACTCAGTCCCACTTACTGAGCATTCATTGTTTTGAGCACTTTGAAATAGTGCAAGGAATTTAGAAGTTATAGTTGCTCATCTCAGGGGGATAACAACCAAAAAGGGTACAATGAGATATTATAAATGAAAAATAAGATTACGGGGTAAAAAGATCTTAAAAATTCAGGCTTCACGGGTGGACCAATCCATGTATTCAGCTCTCCTGGCCACAGTTACCGGGCACAAGAGCCAAAGGAGTCAATGAGACAGAGTGATTCCCAGGACTTTGAATCTGTTAGAAGAGACATATGTTCTTCCTTTCTACTGTGTGCTTTGAGAATGTTAGGTCTGGACTGCACCGGGCATTTTGGCACCCTGAGAGAAGGATCTCAAGCTGCTTGAAAGCCACTTCTACAGAACCTGAAGATGAAGTCAAAGGAAGGCAGCACAAAGAAAACTGGATCCTTGGTGAGAGCATTTGAATCTCTAGATTAACTCTTGCCTGAAGCCAGACATCTAGACTTTTTAATTACTAGACCCAGTATGTTTCCTTTATGGTTTAAGTCAGTTTGAATTGGATTTTGTCATTTGCATTCTAGAACATCCTAATTAATACACCGTCCAAGGAAACCAAGATAACGAAAACAAACTACTGTTTTTAAAGAAAAGATTTTAATGTTCATGGAAAGTGAATTTTCACACAAATTATTGCATTTCATAGCATCCATCCAGATTTAGTCACTTTTTTTCATATACTAACACATGTAGGGTTTTTTAAAAAAAGCTCTTATTCTTTTTTTCTTAAAAAATATTTGTGTTTTTTCTCTAGACTGCTAAGCAGAAAAAAGCTCTTATTCTTATCCTTTATCCTAATTCTTAAAAACAAAGTCCTAATTTACGATTTGAGTATTTCAGTGACAGTAATCATAAGAAGTAACCCGATTAGACCATTCACTTTGCAAAATTATCTGTAAGGGAAGCAGTACTTAGAATACTTATTATGGATGTCATTTGCCTGAAGAGTTGGTCAGTATAAATAAAGGCTGGTAAATAATGTTTTTTAAAATACCTCTGGCATGAAAGTTGTCATAAATCCTGGAATAAAGACTTTTTTCCCCATATACTCCCAGGGCTAAAAATGTTGCCTTTTAGTCCTGTTTAGAATTGTCTTTCGGATTTGCTGATAAACCCTCTTATGTCTGTATGACTTATACAATCAGATGTTGGCTGATGCATTCAGATCCCTGTGCTGTGAATATTTATTTATTTATTTGCTTTCTCAATTAAATGAATGGTTTTGGTGACAAACTACTGGTGTTAACACAAACAGCTAAGCTGATCATTTAGGAAAAGCTCAACATTAAAGGATTCTAAGTCTATTGTTAGGCTATGGCAGTAACTCCAATCTCATTCACAATTAACCACTCAATCATCACCTAATTCATAAGAAAAAAACTACCATAAATAAAAGTTCTTGACTGGGGGCAGTTGCTCATCCCTATAATCCCAGAAATTTGGGAGACCAAGGCAAGAGGATTGCTTGAGCCCAGGGGTTCAAGACCAGCCTGGGTAACATGGAGAGACTCCTTCTCCACAAAAAATGCAAAAATTACCTGGGCCATGGTGGTGCATGCCTGTGGTCCCAGCTACTTTTGAGGCTGAGGTGGGAGGTGGGAGGATTGCTTGAGCCTAGGAGGTGGAGGTTGCAGTGAGCGCCACTGCACTCCAGCCTGGGTGATAGAGTGAGACCCTGTCTAAAAAAACAAAAACAAAAACAAAAACCACACATATGTTCTTTCTGCTGTTTGGAAGGAAGCTATTTCTATTTATTCAGTGTTTGGGGACCTAAATATATGTCTGAAAAGAAAATATTGCTGTACTACAGGATGGTGATTGAAGTCCTGAAAATATCAGGAAACAGTTCTCATTTGTTATTTGTCAAATTGTGCTAGTGCTTTCTGTAAACACTTGTAATCTCTGTTTTTGCAGGTGAAAGAAGACTGAAGCTGAGTTCTATTATCAAAGCAAAGTGCTGTACTGTATTTGAAATAACTCTAGCAAATACTGTGCTTCCTGCATAGAACCTGTTGGATTACTCACACAAATGTCAAAGAACAGGTTGACATTTTAGCAAGTGATCAACCTGGCCCATATAGTTTTTACACTTTGCAGGGTTCAGAGAGCAGTTGAATGTTGTTTTTAGCCTATGATCCAAAGCAGCTAATGACAGAGTCTACCTTAGAACATAAACAGGCTTCTGATTTATAACACAAGGCTAAACATTGCCTTGTAGATATTGTGTGATGTGTCCAGTTACATTAATGAAATAGCTTTGCAACAGTGTGAAGTCAAGACTTAGGCTTAAAACAGAGAATTTGAGGATTGAGATAAGTCCAGAGAAGCAGCAGGATGGAGTGCAGATGCAAGAGAAAGGCTATGTCAATGCCATATTATAAATATAGCTCACAGACAGCATATCCTAGTGTGTGTCTGAAGAGGCCTGTGCCCTTGAGGAAAGGGGAGATTATGACCTTGTCCGCCAATGTCATTTGCATAAATTCCTAGAGACCTTGGGGCAGTGAGTAGGAGATTGGTTGAGATGATCATTGTAGGAAAATTGAATAACAACGTATGGATATCTTACTGTTACAGGAAATGCTTAGGAAGTGAGGTACTCTGAATTTAGAATGTGATGGCCTAAGGGATTCGGAGTCAAGAAGCAGGACATGGGATGAAGATACATCCGCTGTCAAGCTGGTCATTACGACAGGGAGAAATATCCTTCCACAGAGTGAGATTGGTGAGACTTCCAAGAGTTGAATGATGGTCCCACTGGACGAAACTCTTTGGGGTGAGTTTGCTTGTGTGGGAAAGACAGAACTCAGAGCCCTAATTTAGGCAAACTGCAAGATGGGTTCAGCAGGAGAAAGTGCCTGGAAAGGGGGAGGGACCAGGAGCCAAGTGGGTGACTATCTGCCAGGCGCTCTCCTGAGGGTACGCATCTTCCCTTGTGGTGTGACTAGAAAGAGGGAGTCCAAAGCATGGTCCCTTCTCCTCCACCTGACACACATCAATGCTTCCCTCTTTTCCTGTGAGCCAAGATAGAAGGTCTGATCCAGAATGGACGACATGGGTGGAGGGGTGAGTCAGTATTGCTTTTCATTTTGGTGACTGGACTCAGTTTAAAAGATGGATGTCTTAGGGCAGTAGGTAGCATGGTTTTCCTAGCTTTGTTGTCACAGGTGATAGAAGCTGGACCATAAGTTAGGGTCACAGCTCCCTTGATTCTCCTTCTTTGTTCTCCTTCCTCTTTCACAACTCTCTCTCCTAGGTACTTTTAGTCAGGCTACAGATGGAATTTTGGGCATTTGCTCTAGAGAGAATTTTCCTGGGTAGCTTTTGTGTTAAACAGACTTCATTACACATTTTTCTTTGCTTGGGGCCTCTCTCTCCTGACACAGATGCACGGGTCCCTTGTAGCCCACAGGCCCCAGTGTCACACATTAGTGGCACAGGCTAGGTTTTGACATTGGTTTCATGTACCCAGTGAAGAGCACTTTCTCTAAGAACAGTTCAATGGCAGGATGTATATGGTTATGAGCAGGGAGGCCTCCAGTGCTGGAGCATCCGTTGCTGATCCCCAGAAGGGAGACATACTCTCTTTTTGTGTTTCCAAAGGCATACTCTTAGGAGGCAGATAGAAAGATATACAGTTAAGAAGTAGGGTTTTTAGGTTCTGTTAACAGCTGGTTTATTACCTTTTCTGGAACTTTCTCACCCTTTCTGCAGTGAAATAGGATATTTCTCTATGTACGCCAGTGGGGGAAAAATTGTGTGGAAACCTAGCTATTCCCAAAAAAGGAGCACAAAAAGAAGGACCTCTGAGATTGCTGAATACTTTTTAGATGACAAAGAACTTAGAATGTTGAGAAGGGACTTACAGGGAACGGGCTGATAAAAGCCTTGAGCGTCATCTAGTATTTACCCTTTTTTCCTCAAACTTGGGTTAGCTGAATGCACACACGCACACACACACACACACACGAATATTGCTGCTTATGATAAATGCTCTAATCAACAAAATTTACTGGATCATAAGCTCTGCAAAGGTAGGGCCTGTGGTGTTCTCCTTTTATCCTTAGCCTGTAGCACCAGGCCTGGCACATAGATTCTTAGTAAATATCTACTGAGTGAATGAATTGTTGAACAGCTCGTACTGAAGAACTGATTCTGATAATCTGTGGAATACTTAAAAAGAGAATGAATACAATGCATATATTAAAAGAGGAGGCAGTCTGCAGCCACTGCCACCTCCGCCACCGCCAGCTATGCTGGTGAGCATCCCCAGGCAGCTCGTTGGAAGTTGTTTTCAACCATATCCAGCCCTTGCCAAATACATCCTATTTGTCACACATCCAATGTGAGGTCCCTTCAGCTATAAGGTGGGCACCATGGTGGAGAAGTTTGACGGTCTCTACTGCAGGGACCCTTTGCAGAGGAAAAAGTATGTGCACAAGGGTGACTACCACTGCTGCCTGAAATGCTTTGACAAGTTCTGTGCCAACATCTGCATGGAATGCTGCAAGCCCATCTGTGTGGACTCCAAGGAGGTGCACTATAAAAACTGCTTCTGGCATGACCCCAGCTTCCACTGTGCCAAATGCCTTCACCCCTTGGCCAATGAGACCTTTGTGGCCAAGGACAACAAGATCCTGTGCAACAAGTTCGCCACTCAGGAGGACTCTCCCAAGTGTAAGGGATGCTTCAAGCCCTTTGTGGCAGGAGATCAAAAATGGAGTACAAGGGTTAGGGTTAGGGTTAGGGTTAGGGTTAGGGTTAGGGTTAGGGTGACCATCTTGCACAAAGACTGTAGCAACTGCAGGCAAGTCATGGGGACTGGAAGCTTCTTCCCTAAAGGGAAGGACTTCTATTGTGTGACTTGCCATGAGACCAAGTTTGCTAAGTATTGCGTGAAGTGCAACAAGGCCATCATCGCATCTCGGGGAGTCACTTACCAGGATGAGCCCCGGCATGCTGAGTGCTTTGTGTGTGTTACCTGCTCTAAGAAGCCGGCTGGGCAGCGTTTCACTGCTGTGGAGGACCAGTAACACTGCGTGCATTGCTACAAGAACTTTGTGGCCAAGAAGTGGGCTGGATTCAAGCACTCCATCACTGGGTTTGGTAAAGGCTCCAGTGTGGTGGCCTATGAAGGACCATCCTGGCACTACTGCTGCTTCCACTGCAAAAAATGCTCCATGAATCTGGCCAACAAGCACTTTGTTTTCCACAAGGAGCAAGTATATTGCCCTGACTGTGCCAAAGAGTTGTAAACTGACAGGGGCTCCTGCCCTGTAAAATGGAATTTGAATTTTGTTCTTTGTGTCCTTACTCTCTGCCCTATACCATCAGTGGGGAAGAGTGGGCTTTCCCCTCCTTAAAGGTCTCCTTCTGTCTTTTCTCTCATTTGACGGTATTACTCAAATAAGGGCACACAGTGATCATATTAGGATTTAGCAAAAACCAACCCTGCAGCAAAGTGAATTTCTGTCCAGCTGCAACTAAAAACCGAAAACGTAGGCAGACTGACTCTTCTGCATGTTTCTCACAGAGCAGAAAAGTGCTAGTCATTTCGCCACTTAGTGATGTAAGCAAGAAGCATATGAAACAAAGCCCCCACTGAGATGCCTCTTGCGACTCAGCTGGGACATACCGTGTAGTCATGCGACATGCAAGAGTTGTAGTGGCTGCTTCATCTCGCCGCTCATCCTCTTCTGTGAACAGGAAAAGAACTGACTGACGTGCATGGTTTAACTTCCTCATCAAAACTCTAACCTTCCTTCTGTTCTTTTGTGCTTTCAAATGACTAATATGCACTTCCAGAAAATTAACATTTGAACTTGGCTGTAATTCTAAACTGACCTTTCCCTGTACAAATGTTTGATTTCCCCATGAGGCGTGTTTTCTGAGCGTTCCTACCATAAAGCATGGAACATGCAGGTGATTTGGGAAGTGTAGGCAGATCTGAGAAAACGAACCTGTTTCAGAGGAACATTGTCACAGCAAATACTTCTGGAAACTTAACAAAACTAACCCTGCCGTCCTTTTTATTGTTTTTAATTAGGAATATTTTTGTTTTAATTGATAGCAAAATAGTTTATAGGTTTGGAAACTTCCATGAAAATATTCTGTTTATTTTATTTTATTTTTATTTTTATTTTTTGAGATGGAGCCTCACTCTGTCGCCCAGGCTGCAGTACAGTGGCACATTCTCAGCTCACTGCAACCTTCACCTCCCAGGTTCAAGCAATTCTCCTGTCTCAGCCTCCTGAGTAGCTGGGACTACAGGGCCGTGCCACCACACCCGGCTAATTTTTGAATTTTTAATAGAGATGGGGTTTCAACATATTGGTCAGGCTGGTCTTGAACTCCTGACCTCAGGTGATCCACCCACCTAGGCCTCCCAAAATATTGGGATTACAGGTATGAGCCACCGTGCCTGGCCTGCATGAAAATATTTTAGCCCTTTCAGATGTTCCTGTAGTGTTGAAATTCATCCTACGGAAGTACTGCGAAACTCTACAGGCGGAGTTGAGCAGGTGCCAGGGCTCTCATCAACACGGATATGACATTACAGAGCAGTGGCGAGTTGAATCCCTTGTAACGCAGTTGTCTGCTCTTTGTTCATGTGTTGATGAGGACCACAAAGTCCCTTCTATTGCGATTCCTTGGAAATTTCCTCAGGAAGAAATGCGGATTTCCCCCGCCACTTACCTGAAATACAGGATCACCTACTTACTGTACTCTACATTATTTTACGATGTAGTATAATGAGACAATATCAAAAGTAAGCATGTAACGACAATGTGTACTAACATTCTTGTAGGAGTGGTTAGAGAAGCTGATGCCTCATTTCTACATTCTGTCATTAGCTATTATCATTTAATGTTTCAGTGTATCCTTATGGAAATAAAGCAGCACATGAATTTAAAAAAAGAGTCTAGGAACTACAGAATGATTAACTTACTTTTATACTGTAAAAAAGTTAGTATCCCCATGATGTTTCCCCAAAATAGTTTGAAAATGATTAGAAGACTTATGAATTATAGTGTGCGTCTCTCCTCTCTTACCACGGACTGAGAGCTAACATATCGATATACCTCATTTTACTGTGCTTTGCAGATATGGCATGTCTTACAAATGGAGGGTTTGTGGGAACCCTGAGTTGAGTAAATCTATTGGCACCATTTTCCCAATATCATATGCTCACTTTGTTAGCATGTTTTTAGCAATATTTAAAAATTAAGGTATGTATACTTTAAAAGAGATAATGCTATTGCACACTTAAACTACAGTATAGTATAAACGTAACTGTTATATGCACTGGGAAACCAGAAAATTCCTTGATTGCAGTGGTCTGGAACTGAACCTCAAATATCTGTGAGGTATGCCTGTATATTAAAAAGGGGAAGAATTTTTTTTTTTTTTTACAGTAACCAGGTGTTTAATGCTTTTGTTTTGCTTGATGAGAATAACTTCTAGTGCTATGAAACAAATAGCTATTTAATTCAACAATCAGTTTAGTAAACTTTGTAACCCCAGCTAGCAAAATAAAGTCACCTATTAGGAAATGAGCCAAAGAGGAAGGTGAACTATTTTAGAAACGTAGTTTAAAATGTATATATAGTTTAAAAATCTAAAAGCATTCACATTTTTTCAAAATGGCATTCAATGATGGTCAAGTAAACTATTTCCTTTATTAGGGAGATGAGTTTCTCACACCTGCACAATGACATCCTGTGGCTATTATCAGACATATCGGAGACCTTGGACCTTGTGTTATGTAGAGGATTCCCTTTCCAGAGGATAGGCTGGATACGTACAGCAAATTGACTGCAACTCTCTATAAAACAGATCTTTCATATATCTGTAGTAAAATAACAGTGTACATATTTACCATAATGAGAAACTGCATTTGCTTGAACTATAATACATTTTTAGTATTAGTGGGCAGAGTAAAATATTCCATATATTTTAAATAACTAATGGAAATAATTTAATGGAATTAAAAAAATTCATGTATTTAAAAATATACTGTTGTTTTGTTTTGTTTTGTTTTTGAGACAGAGTCTTGCTGTGTTGCCCAGTCTGGGGTGCAGTGGCATGATCTTGGCTCACTGCAACCCCTGCCTCCCAGGTTCAAGTTATTCTCCTGCCTCAGCCTCCTGAGTAGCTGGGATTACAGGCATGAGCCACCGTGCCCAGCCCTATACTGTTTTTTAAACATTGGTATCCACACTTACTCTATAACTCTTATAGCTATACGTTGGCTGTTTAGTAAACAGATTTTTAAAAATTTTTATTATGGAAAACCTCAAATACATACAAAAGTAGAGTGAACAGAATAGTGAAACTCATGTAGTCAAAACCCAGCTTCAATAAGTATCAACTTATGACTGAACTTATTTCACCCATAGTCCCAATGATCTACCTACACCCTACCTGCTCAATGGATTTTTGGAAGCAAATCCTTGTCATGATATTACTGGGAGAAACACTCTTTCTTGGGACTTTTTTGTTTCTACACATTTTGCTGGGTGGACCAAGAGACTGCAAGGCCCTAACTATTCTTTTACCAGAACCATTTCTCAAGGTTGATTATGCAGCTGGTAACCTCAAAAAATAGATAATCCTTCCTTCCACACCCATCATCACCCCCAAACAAAGAGCAGGCTTGCTTATTGCTTGCTATAAAATTTGTGGTTTCCCCAAGTTGTGTTCCTCAGCTGTGCAACAAACCCAGTGTATGGGCAGGTAGCCTCTGGGTCCCTCTGTATTGCTCATGTAGCACCTGGGGGCAAAAGGAACCAATACACTTATGCTGATGTTCATGCTCCTACTGTGTCACAAGTAATAAAGTTCTTTGTCTCTGACCCAAGAGGCTCATGTGTTTTGCCAGTCTCCATAAAATAATAACAGGCTAATTTATTAGGTTGGAGGCAGAATCAAATCTAATCCCAGACACAACAAATTTCAGTATATATTTTTTAAAAATAAGAAGTCTTTTAAAAAAGCCCACAATACTATCATATTTCAGTATATATTTTTAAAAAATAAGAAGTCTTTTTAAAAAGCCCACAATACTATATTTTAAACAACAGTAATTTTTAATATCATTGAATATCCCAAATTGTGTTCAGATTTCCCTGTTTCATTTGTGACAGTGTATTTGAAAAAGGATTTAAATAAGTTTCATGATTATATTGGGTGATTTGAATTCAAAAAATTTTATTTTAGTAAAATGTATTTAAAATTTGTAATTTTAACATACAAGTTGGTGGTATTAATTATATTCAAAATTTTGTACAACCATCACCACTATTTCCAAAACTTTTACATCTGGATGATTTGAATCTTAAGTTTATTTTTTGTTTTGAGACGGAGTGTCACTGTGTCGCCCAGGCTAGAGTGCAGTGGCGAGATCTCGGCTCACTGCAATCTCCACCTCCCAGGCTCATGCCATTCTCCTGCCTCAGCCTCCCAAGCAGCTGGGACTACAAGCGCCCTCCACCATGCTCGGCTAATTTTTTTTTTTTTTTGTATTTTTAGTAGAAACAGGGTTTCACTGTGCTAGCCAGGACGGTCTCGATCTCCTGACCTTGTGATGCGCCCACCTTGGCCTCCCAAAGTGCTGGGATTACAGGCGTGAGCCACCGTGGCTGGCCAAGTATCTTTCTTTTAATCTACAGGTTTTCCTTTTCCCATTCTGTTTGTCCTTGCATTTATTTGTTGGAGAAAATCAGGTCATTTCTACTATAGTTTCCCACAATTTGGAGTTGTACTATTTTTATAACTGCAGTGATGTTTAACATGTTCCTTTGTTCCCTGTATTTCCTGTAAATTGGTTTTTGGATCTAGAGGTTTATTTAGACTCAGGTTAATTTTTTTTGGTAAGACTTTCATTCATATGGGGTTTCATGGATTTCCATCAGATGGCACATATCTGGTTATTTCTCTTTTCGAGATGTTAGCAGTCATTTATGATTATTGCCTAGATTACTTACATTTTAGGGGTGCATAATGGTGATATTCAAATTCCATTATTTCTCCTTAATAGCTATAATACTTCCCTAAAGGAAATAGCTGCATAGTACTCCATTGTATGGATATTTACTCAATCAGTCTAAATATATTTTGTAAGTCATAGTACCCTATTTGTCAAACATAATTTTATTGTGATGGTTTTCCAATGAGAGAAGTTTTTGTTGTTGTTTCTTTCTTATTCATAAAGAGTACAGAGTACGCTTCAAGCCTAAAGTGGCATTTGAGAAAAAGTTAAAAGCTATTTCTACATGATAATGTAAATAAAAATCCTCACCCTCCAAAATAATCTGTTGTAAAGTGTCCCTTTTGTTAAAAGGTACCCAGGAGTCTTTAATCTGGGAAGAAGGCAGTCTTGGTAGGGACAAGCAATTTCAGTTTTATTTTCTTCCAATGAAGAGTACCGAGAGCTGGGGAGGGCCTCCTTTGCATGTGTTCTTCTGGTTCTTTTTTAAATGCATGGATCTAAAATTAAGCACAGTGGTTTTTTCTGGTGATAGTACATGCCAAGATGGCATATCAGAACATTTTCCTTAGAGCAACATTGAGACATATCTGTGCAAATCAATCAATTACAAACTCAGTGGACTTATTTAGCAGGAATATGAAACTCAAAAGTCATCATAGTGATTGAACCTCATTATCACTTTGCCACTAAAAATACTAAGCATTTCTTTTTATTCCTCACCACAGCATCTGTAACTCACACCTGGCATTTTGTGAAACTTCTGTATGCTGGGTAGTATAGCAGGTGAAATGTCACATGACCAGTTCTTCGGTACACTGAGGATCAGATGAATAAAAAGAGGGAAAGAGGAAGTGAAGCATTTTTCAAGTTATTTTTAGTAAAAATCTTGCCACTCATTATTCATTGGCTTATTGCCATCTTAAATAACTTATTAAAAAAAGACATATTTTTGAAATATGGGAGGATTTTCTCCCTGTCCACGTCTCTCTCTCAGCAAAGGGACCAAGAGAGTAAAGTAACAATTCACAAATATATGTGATGGTTTGATACAGTTTTTAATGTCAGAAGAAAAACCTGTTGTCTTAGTAATAATGAAAGAAA